AGTTCTGTGTGGCCACTGCAGTGAATTATTGAACCCAGGAGAGAGGTGGTGGGTGCTTTGGGAGGAACGGTTGGAGAAAGGGCTGGAGGGAGGCAGCATGTCTGGCCTTGCAGTAATAGGCCTTGGGTTACTGCTGGTAATCCTGCCTTCCCCTTGTAGGGTTAGAGGAGGTCAAAACATGTGGCCTCCTTGCCCTTTTTGCACAACCACTCAGAAAGGGATCAGTTTGGAGATTCTAGATAGAGTGGGGGTTAAATGTGGAACAAAACCCAAAATTATAAGAAAAGACCAGCTCGACTGGTCTGATAGACACTGGTAAAAGCCCCTAGAGTATGGCCCCTAGTCACTCTTCAGGCCTGGAATTAAACTCACTCCTGTGGCTTAACTTCCAGCCAAACAACAGGCCTATGAGGTGAACAATTACACCAGGTAGGTACACTCCTTAGGACAATCAACCATGGGAGATCAGAAGGGCAGCATTTACACAGGGAGAAAGCTCAAGAGGGCAGGAATGCATAGGAAAGAAGGATACAGGGGAAAAAAGGTAACTACATGGAGGAAGTGGGAAGAGAGCTGTTACAATGTGGGGATTGCAATCAATGTCACGAAACAAAATGTGCATGAACTGTTGTATGGAAAACAAATTTGCTCTGTAAACTTTTACCCAAATCACATTTAAAAATAAACACAAAATACTAAGACTATAAAAAAGAAAAAACAAACTCATGCCATCCAGTCGATTCTGACTCATAGAGACCCCCATTGGGTCTCCGAGGTGGTAAATCTTTACAGAAATAGATTACCCCATCTTCCTCCCACAGAGCACCTGGTGGATTTGAACCACCAACCCTCTGGTTAGCTGGCAATCTTGGGCACTGAGTCACCAGCACTCCTTATTGAGACTATAGGGACAGTGAGAAAAAATAAAAAGAACCAGTAGTCAAAGCCATCATGGTAATCTCATCACTCTTGGGTGTATGAACCAATTCTGGCAAATGAGGGGTGTGTGTGTGGTATGTAGGGAGAGGATTGATGGAATTTCTGGGGCGCTTCCTCTCAAGAGACACAAGAGACAGTTTCTCTTTGTATGTGAGACCTGGAGCAGCTGCAGCCACACTGAATATGGCAGAGCAGAGATGGAAGGAATGCGGATCCCCGAGGACAGTCAGCTACTTTGTCAACTGTTTGGGGGAAGCTCTTCCTGATAAGTGAGATAATGAGTGTTCTTATTGTTTATTTACCTCAGTATGTGTCACAGTTCCTGTTACTTGCCACCAGAAGCATCCTCACTGATACATCAACCCCAAAAAGAATGCCACCAACCCACAGAATTCTCACTAGCCTTTAAAATTTACCTTCTGTTGGTACCCAAATATCAGAAACTGTTAAATAAAAATTTAAAAGTGCTACAGGATAAAATGGCTGACTGTTCCTCTGTCTGGCTTCCTGTCTTTTAATCCTCTTTCTCCTGCTCTTCTGGCCTGCTTCTTTGGGTGTCCCTGAGTTTCGCCTCCTCACCTAATCCCTTTGGCTGATTGCTCTTCTCTTTGGCTTCCTGGGTTTTGCCCCTTTCTCCTGCTCTCCCGGCCTGCTACTCTGTGCTACGCCCGTGCTTACCTTGCTCCC